TTAACCCTCTCCAGGATGAATCTGTTTGTTTTCTTAGCAGTCCATGGTACATTCAATACTCTCTCCAGCACCACAACTCAAAGGCATAAATTCTCCTTCTATCCTTCCTAGTCATTGTCCAATTCTCTGACGCATAACAAGTGATTGCAAAGACCCTTGCCTGTATCAGACACACCTTATTCTCCAGAGTGAGACCATTGCTCTTCAGTACCCTGGAGAGGTCCCTAACAGCAGACTTTCCCATGGCAACATGTCTTTTAATTTCCTGGCTGCTGGTTCCAAAAGTGTTGACTGTGGAGCCAAGCAAACTAAAGCTGTGAACAATCTCAGTCTCTTCACCATCCATCCTGATGCTGCCAATTGGTTCAGTGGTGAGAATCTTTCTCTTCTAGATATTGAGCCTCAATCCATATTGAAGACTGCAGTCCTTGACCCTCTGCAGGAAGCGCTTCAGGTCTTCCTCAGTTTCAGCAAGCAAGGTTGCGTCATCTGCATAATGCAGATTGTTGATGAATTCTTCATCAATTCTGATGCCACACTTCTTCTCATAGAGCCCAGCAGCCCAGATAATCTGTTTTGCATGCAGGTTAAAAAGTATGGAGATAGGACACATCCCTGGTGTACGCCCTTCCCAATTTTGAACCATGCAGTGTTTCCTTGCTCTGTTCTGATGGCTGCCTCTTGGTCCAAGTATAGGTTTCGCATAAGCACGATCAAGTGTTCTGGGATTCCCATTTTTCTCAGAGTCAATGTTATTGTTCAATAATTTCTACATTCTATTGGATCACCTTTCTTGGGAATGCAAAAAAATACAGATCTTTTCAGTCAGTCATCCAGGTAGATTTCCTCCAATTTTCCTGGCATAAACTAGTAAGCACATCCAGAGCTGCATCTGTTAACTGAAATATGTCAATTGGTTCCCATCAAATTGTGGGACCTTATTTTTTTGCTAATGCCTTCAGTGCAGCTTTCACATCTATGCCCATTCTAAAAAATTTGATCTCACAGAATGTAGAAGTTATCAAACAATATCATTAATATGACATGAAAGTAAAATCTTGCTGAAAATTATTTAAAAAACCCCAACAGTGGAAACAGTTTATCAACGGAGAACTGCAAGAAGTTTAAACTGGATTCAGAATAGGCCCCTTGGAATAAAGAACATCATTTCCAAAGTCAGATAGATCCTAGCTGAAATCAGAGAATACCAGAGAGATGTTTACTTGTGTATTATTGACTATGTAAAGGTGTCTGACAGTGTGGATCATAATAAATTATGAGTAACACTGAGAAGAATGGAAATTCCAGCACACTTAAGTGTGTTAACTGTCAAACCTGTACATAAATCAGCAAACAGTTGTTTGAACTGAACAAGGGGATATTGCTTGCTTTAAATAGAGAAAAGTTGCTTGTCAGGTTGTATCCTTTCTCCATATCACTTCAATCTGTATGCTAAGTAAATAATTCAAGAATATGGACTAGATGATGATGAATGTGGCCTCAGGTGGAGAGGAAAATAAATGAAAATTTGTTAGGAAGATGGCACAACCTTACTCGCACAAAGTGAAGAATACTTGAAGGATTTACTAAAGAGAATTAAAGACTACAACCTTCAGAATGGACTGCACACTAACAAAAAGAAAACAAAAATCCTCACCATTGAACTAATTGGGAGAAGGATGGGTGATCTCCTCCTGTGCAATTAACTGCCTCTGAAAACCTACTGGAGGGTAAGTTATGGGTCGCTTATGACTCAATGATACACAGCAACAACAATAACATTGGACCAACAGGCAACATCATGATAAATGGAGAGAAGATGGAAGCTGTCAATGATTTCGTTTTACTTGAACCACAATCAAGGTTTATGAAAGCAGCAATCAAGAAATCGAATTATGTATTTCATTGGATAAATGTGCTGTCAAAGACCTTTTTAAAGTCCTGAAGAACAAGGATGCCAGTTTAAAGACTAAGGCATGTTTGAACCAAGTCACAGCATTTCCAGTTGCTTCATATGCATACGAAAGTTGGGCAATGAATAAGGAATACCAATGAAGACTTGATTTCTTTTTTAGAGTTGATGTTTTTGAACTGTAAAGCTAGTGAAGAGTATTGGATATAATTGAACATCATTGAGTCTCTAATTGAATGTTGTTATGTGCCATCAAGTCACCTGTGACTCATAGCTACCCTATATACAACAGCTCTGAAATCTGCTCTACCCTGAGCCAGTCTCACTGACTCTTACACACCTAATCCCATTGCCCCAGTTACTGTGTTGATCCATCTCATCTGCGGTCTTCCTCTCCTGCACATTCCCTCCTGTCTTGGAGAAAGTGAAGCTAGGGTGCTCCTTAGAGTCAAGGATGGTGAGACGCAGTCTCACATATTTTTACATATTATCAGGACAGACTAATACTAGAAATGGCATTAAGCTTGGAAAAGGAAAGAATCATTGAAGGAGAGGTGGTCCCTTAATCAGATGAGTTGAAACAATGACTACAACAAACAGATTTATGTACTGCAAAGATTATGAGGATTGAATACTGTGATTGTTATACTTAAGATTGCTTTGAGTCTTATTTAACTCAATGACATGTGACAATAACAGTGTAAAAAGAAAATACAAGATCCCTTGTTTAACAATTATCAACAATTCCAACACTGCTGCTGCAAGAAAGCATTAACCTAAGTGTGTGGCACTGCTGAGTGTGGGACTCTGCGGGAAGAACATGAGTCCTAAGAACAGGAACTGCTCCCTGGAGGAGGGTACAGCTGGTAGCCAGCACACATTGATACCTGACCCTTTCCCTTCTAGCAGCCTAGTGGGTAAGGAGTTTCATTGTCAAAGGTAGGAAGTTTGAATCCATCAGCTGCTGCTCAGGAGTAAGTAGAGCAGTCTCCTGTGTGATTTACAGCCTCTAAACACTCACTGGAGCCTCAGCTGTGAGTTGACTATGACTTTTGAAAGCTAACAGCAAGAGGGGGGAGAGTGAGAATAAAGACAGTTTGGGAGTATCAGGACCAAAACTTTAGTGCCCTTTTGCTCCCTCACAGACGTAACAAAAAGACTTCCTCTGAAACAGAACAGGTTAGCTTCAGAGAGAGAATATGGGTAACGGTTCGCTTTAGTATACAGTTAGTTATACCACTGTTTTTTTTAAATTCACAATTTCTTTTAATTCCCAAATAAACCTGTGTATCATTATCTCCATATTACTGATGAGCGAATGAAGGTTTAGGGAGGATGAGAAACTCACTCAAGGAGGTGATGGAGGCAGGACTTGACCCAGTCCATCTAACTCTACAGCCTGTACTTTTAAAATTTATCCATACTAATAGGGAGCTCTGGTGGCACTCTGTGGAGTGTGTTCTGCTGCCAACCAAAAGGTTAGCTAGTAGAATCCACCTCCTGCATCTGAGAAAGAAGAGCAGATCCCTCTCTTCAAGTTTACAGCTTTGAAAATGTGATGAAAGGTTGGTATAAGTCAGAACTGACTTGAAAGTAAGTTTCACTTTGGCTTATTTATACTAGCTGTAAGATTACACACTCCTCTGTTAACTGCAAGGTTGGCAATTCAAACCCAACTAGTGGCTTTGTAGGAGAAAGTTTTGGTAATCTGTTTCTGTAGAGTCTACAGCCAAGTAAACAGTATGGGTACTTCTACTCTGTTACATGGGGTCACTATCAGTTTTAATTACTTTGGCAGACTGCAACAACAACAAACTGTATTGGGAGTCCTTAGATAATGCAAATGCAAAATACTAGCTACAAGGATGGCTATTTCAGCCCACCTGGAGGCACCTCAGAAGCGCTGGTGGTCTAGTGGTAAGAAGTTGTGCTGCAATCTCAAAGACATGAGGTTTGAATCCACCATTTTTGGAAGATAAGTCTGGTGATCCTCTTCTGAAATGTCATAAAGCCTTAAAAAGCCTAAGGAGGAGTTCTACTCTGAATATTAACAACAACAACAACAGTAATCCTATGTTAAGTAGCGTACTTTGCTCCCACACTGCAAGTTCATGGGCATCTTGCAGCAGCTTCATTGGTTCTGGACAGTGCTGTGAACACTTATGCACATTCATTCATACAGAAGCACACAGTCTCTCCTCTACATGTCCTTTTAAGAAAGGAAGTCCTTATGTTGTCTGTAATTTTCTTCGGGCAAAGACTTTGTCCAGAGAGTCTCTCTTCTAAAAGTAATGATTAAAATTTTCAAGTTCTGTTAAGAATAAAGAATCCTATAGTGTAAATATAAAAAAAAAAAAAAAAGAAAGGAAGTCCATCCCTTTGGGATATAACTTTCTAATAAATGTATCTTTACTTTTTACCTTCAAAAAAACCCAACCAAGCAACCAACCAAACAAAATACACACATACAGTAGTTTGCCTAGGAAATGCTTTATTCAGAAGAGATTCCAAGAAGGTAGCTGCTACTGTTACGTGGGGAGTTAGACTATTGAGAACAGAAGGGTCTTTCTAAGCAGAAATCTGGTCTGGTTGAGGAAAGATGGTGAAGGGACCAGGCAGAAGTGGCTCACACTTTGGCTTTTAGGGATGGAAAGGGAGTCTGATTTTGCCTTTAGGTTGGGAAGATATTTTCTTCACCCCCAGGGGACAGGGTTAGGGCAGGGAGTGGTAGTTTTAGAGAAGGAAAGTCAACATTGAGGGGTGAGACTTCTGGAGGAAGACCAGCTCTCAGCACTGGGGAGTTCTCCCACTGCACCTCTGATTAGAGTAGTACTGCACATTTTCATCATAAGTGTCTTCATTTCTTGCAAAACAGTAGGCAGCATTTCTATCACATTGACACAACTTTCTCCTACAGAAATCCCCGCTGTCTGAAATCACAAGAAGATAAACAAAGGAGGGAAGGTTTGTGATTATTCCATGATTCTTTCTGAAAATTTGAGGAGGAAAACAGAGTTCTTGTCTTCCTAAAGTTCCTAGGTTGAGAAAAGCAACTGTTACAGATATTTCTGACTAATGGGGTGACGATTCCTTCCCTCACATAACTCACAAACAGCAAGTAGGCAAGAGTGGGAAGATTATGTTAAATATTTAACTTCATTGCCTTGCTAACATTTGTCCAATGGGCAGAAGTCTAGTCCCTGGGAAGGGGTTCTAAATAATGTAGACCATCCATAGTTACTTTTCTTTCCTTTGCAGTGATTGGTGTCCAGTCAATATGTGATCCATTCTGGCCAATAGGAGAAGAGGAGATGTTGCTCAGGGCTCCTGGGAAGGATTGATCTTCTCCCTCAAGAGAGAAGTATGTTGGGAAACTCCTTTTGGAGTATGAGATCACGATGCTGGGATCTGCAGCTAATGTCTCGATAGGATGAGTTAGTTACTGTTCACCTGGCAAAGTAAAAGCCTTAGTCTGGCATTGCCCCTTTCATGTTGCTGCTGTGTACCATAGAGTTGCAACCGACCCATAGCTGACCTTCAGGTGGGTTTTCAAAGGCAGTTAATAGCACAGGAGGAGATGGCATGGAGGACTTGCCTTAGGATTACAATGCAGCTTCTTGCCACTAGATCCCTTCCATACAACCATACTATTCAAGCTGCTTTTATTTGGGCTTCTTGTTGCTTGCAAACCAAAGCCTTCTATGTATGCATGGAACGGGAGAGACACAAATTCTAACAAACTTTCAGGCCATTGAATAGTAGCTCTCAAAACCACTTGTGTCTCCTGTCTGGAGACACTGAATACACTCTTTTAGCCATCACTCCATCTCTTTCTACCTCTTTTGAATGAGAATTTTTCCAGAAATTGTCTGTGCTAAATATCTCTACTTCTTGATTTCCATTCAGCATTTACTCCAACTGGCTCATGACAACACCTCTCACTGAACAGGACATGACCTTGTGTTTAAACCCAAAGGACTTTCTACAGTCATGGTGGACTGCTCTAGTACACTGGCTCTTATTACAATCAGCTTCTTACCAACTTTTAATACCTTTCTCTGCCAGTTGTCTTCATCCCTCTAACTATTGCTACTCTCCTTTTTGGGGCTTTCAACATAAATGTATTTGAGTCCAATTCCATCGCTGACTTTTGACTCTAGGCTTTAATTGAAGACTCCTGCTTTGAGCTGTAAGTTCATACATTCAACTGCTTGCTGGATTTCTCCTGGACTTCCCAGAGGAGGCTTCAGTGGAATATGTCCCAAGAATAACTCCTTCTCCTTCTCTCCACACCTCTTGGCAAGCCTTGCTCCTGTGTTCTTTGTCTCAGCTCTGCCGCTATCATCCACATAGTCAAATATTTACTCAACAACTTCTTTATACTCATATCTTTCCAAGTCAATAAGAAAAATTAGATATTTCTACTTTTCAAATGCATTTTTTTCTTCATTCACCAACCCCATTCACTTGCCCACATCATGTTTTACGCCAAGCTTTTACTATCTCTGGTCTGGATTAAGGTAATAAAACCTTCCCACAAGTTCCCCTTCCATCCTGTTTCCTCCATCTATCCCGAAGCAAGAGTGAACTCTCAGAAATGCAGATCTCATCACGTCACTCCTTTGCCTCATGCCTCCTTATTTCTTTAAGAAAAAGTCCTAGTGAGCAAAACAGTTAAGTCCTTAGCTACTAAATGAAAGGTTAGTAATTCAACCCCACCTAGTGGCTTTGTGGGAGAAAACACGTGACCCCTTGCTTCCAAATATTACAGCCTAGAAAATCCTGTGGTGAAATTATCTGTTACATCGAATTGTTATGAGGATGAAATCAACCGAATGGCACTAAACAATTAAAATCCAAATGCAACAGGGCCTCAAATATCTGGCTTGATTAGTTGATGCTGATGTTGGCGCCTGCTGAGTCATGGTAACCCCATGTACCATTGAATGATAACACTGCCCCATAATTGGCTGATAACACAGTCCCATAATTACCACTGAGAGCCACAGGGTTTACACAGGAGTTTCAAAAGTAGATCACCAGGCTTCCTTCCTAGTTCATCTTACTCTGTGCATTTTGCTGAGCATGTCAACATAATAGCAACACAGTCTTCATTGCTGGAGCAATAGTAGCTGTGTGCGTGAAATGCACTGGCCAGAAATCAAACTTGGGTTTCTCCCATTCCACCATGGAGCCACCATTGTCTTCATTTGGCTTGCTGTAACCTCTACTTAACCTCTAATCTAATCTCTGTAGGATCATCTCTCATCATTCCTCCTCTTTTGCATCTGGTTTCTTTTGGCAAGACAAACTGGCAGAAAGTACCTGCTTTTAAGGTTTTGGGAGTCGTTACCACATTGTATTTTCATTTTTTAAAACTATAGCTTTCTCACTAAATTATGAGCCCTTTGATACTGGAACATTGTTCTTTTGTGTTTTGATCTCAGATGCCTAGCCCAGCATTCAGCACTGTGGATAAGGAACAAGCAACACATTTGAAGCTACAAGACTCTTTCTTACCACAGACAATGGTGTCTCCATAACTCGAAAACTTGTAGCCAAGAAATTTTGTCCCACATCCATAATCCTCCAGCTCGGCATAGCAACAGTCATGTTCAAAGCAGCACCTGTGATGAGGACATCTCATTGGGACTTCTTTCTTATTGTTCAAGGGAGTCAGTCTCCCTGCCTCCCTTCTCCTGGTCCCTGGTGACCCTGTAAAACACTTGGCCACTCTGGAGTTGCCTAGGGCAGAGTTTCCACCCCTGAGGTGATAAACCAAAAGTGATCAGATAGAAAGGGAGGTTAGGAGTGGCCTCACCAGTCCGTTGCATCCTTGGGAGATCCTTTTCCACCCCAGCCACAGTAGCAACCATAGAAGGCATAGCTTAATACAGCTTCCTTTCCTACCACAATCTCAATCATCTTCCTGAAATTCAGCAAATTCCCCTGTGCCTGTAGCAGACCTGGAAGGAAATTGGTTGCAGATATTATCTGGCCCCTCTGTCCTCCCTCCTTGCTGCTTTCTGCTGCTGTCTTTAATTAACTACCTCACTGTTCTCTATCCCTCTCCCAGCAAGGAAAGCCTTGCAGCCATGAAAGGAATACTACAATATGGAAGTGCTTCCCACCCTGGGCTATTCCTTTCAGCGCTAGACATTGATTCAACACTTACCCATGGACATGATCACAGCCAATAGCAGGAGGGTTTTCATGTTGAGAGAGCTCTGTGAAAAAAATGCAGCTGTGTTGGCTAGATACCTCATCCAGGTGGTCCTAGCTTCTTTTCTTGGCTCTCTATTCTCCTGCTCAGACTCAACAACTTTGGAGAAGGCAGTTTGTAAAGAAACTCTGTCCCAGCTTTTGTCCCAGCCTAAGCCCAGAGTGAACTCACTCCATTTGTCACACACAGAGCACATATGAGGGACCCTCAGTAATGCACTGACACACACACACACTCTTGACTTTTCCATACTGTGTAGAACAAGTACACACACACACACACACACACACACACACACACACACACACACA